TTGAAGGCAGAAAATTCCACACAATGAAATAAATCTTATTAACTATATCTGCTTTTGCCTTCTCAACACTTTTTTTTCTCGTTTTCATTTTTATCGTCCTTCTGCTAGCAACTACTTTGCATGTATCTTTTTTTACTGCCTTCCTCACATAATACAAGTTCGCTCATCGGCACCCCACTGTATTGCATTCCCCACCGCTTGTCACTTCTCCACACGACATAAACATGACCATGCCTCGCCACAGGACCCAGGCTCATTCCTATGCTTAGCGATTGCCTTTAGCTCCACTTCTTTCCGTAATCTTCTCCCAATTTCCAACTAATAGGCAAATAATAAGGCAAATCCGAACTATTGATGCACAGTCAGGTGGAGAGAGAAGTAATTGTTGCATCTCTGCGACGAAGACAAATTGTCGACATTCGAGGCATGAGTGATGCATTGTAGAGTGCAAAGTGCAGTGCACTGTGAGGCCAAGTCATCAAAGTGCTCTTGCATATCCTCCTCTTTAGCACAGTAGGCTTCCTCGAAGTCTACTGTTTGTGTAAACATGCCTCTGAACCCTGGAGAAGTATTTCCGAGGGATCTTCTCGTCTCAGCAGTAGATACGCTAAAAACTACGTAAACAACTTCGCTCAAGCTTACACAGTAGTGCAGATAGGTCTAGTGAGTGCATGAAGGCTAGAATAATACAAAGTATTTTTATTACGCTGCAAAAATCTTTTTATTCTGTAGACACACGGTTTTTACTATCGTCAGAAACGCGTTGGCTTTGTGCACTGATAAAAGCTTTATGATCTAGCAGTAGTTGGCCAACCTAACTTGACGGACCCAGCAGCGCATATTCTAAAGTAGACAGTGTAGGTGATGACACAGATAGGAGGAGATAGTCATGCAAAAATCCTATTGAGATTTTCATACTTATTAGGTGATAGCTTAAGAGGTGGGTTAGTTGACTACTCCTCGTCTGTTATTTTGCATACCTCCGTACTGACTGCACAGTTATGGCTGCTCTTAGGTCTATGCAAAGTAGTAGCATTGGCGAAATACTAGTAGTCAATGGACTGGCCAATACACTAGTGACACACTAGCCTTTTTACCGTTGTCTTGTATTGTGTCGACTCGCCTAGCCTCATCTCGAACCACTTGGAGATCGTTTAAGCCTTGTCACTTCAGATGTAACGTTGTTCGCATTCACATTCCATACAATCCACGAGATGCACATTTACACAGATTAGTTTAAAGTAGAGGCAATGATAAATATTCGTGTGCCTGTTGATCTCGTCCAAGTATGCCACATAAATAACTCCGCCTTCACAACAACCCTCTTAAGCAGCCTTCCTCATGGTACCAACCCACAGCTTTTCAGGCCACTGGTTCTGAAGCTCTTGTCTAACTTTCTATCTGCCTATTCCTACCTCTGTCAGTTCTTCTTCATCCAGCTATCGAACACCTCGCTGAAATCTGGCTAGGGAAACCAATGGAACACAGTGACAATTGCCTTGTTCCTGGGTTAATCAATCCAACTTACAGTCTCCAAATGAATTGGATGATGATGGGCCATAGAACTTGCTTGCAGGCCCGCATGGCCAAGTGCTTTGAAGCTTAACTGCCTGTGAAATGATACGAATTCGTAGTTTGTCACAGTTGAGGGTTTAAATCGAGAGGGGTATTTTGGATGTGGCACCACCCCCTCCCTTCCTCGGCATAACTTGCAAGTCTTGCCTTAGCTACCTAAACGACAATGCAATGTCCTCAAGACCTCGAAATAAGAGGCCTCTTCTGGTTATTATTCAAGAGCTTTGCCTCCTTTAAGTGTAAAGCTTATCATCGCGGGTAGAAAATCTCTATCGCTGATGTTCAGGCATAGTGCAGGCTCGAAATTTTGGAGTTTGAATCCAGCTCCATCGTAAGGGTGTGCGTTAATGGGTTTGATGGCTGTTCTTTTTGTGATAACTCATGACTGATTGTTTGACAGGCTTTCAACACTGTGGGTGAGGTGGATATTATCAGCTGCCAAAGCTTTCCTAATTAATAAAAATATTAAGCAGACTGCCTCGCTACCCACTTTACCGTCCCATGCCGAAAGATTCAACTAAGCTGATGCAAAGCGAAAAGTAACCGACATGAGGATGATGTGGATCCTAATCGAGTAGGACTCTCTAGCCTCCCTAACCATCGGGTTAGGCTGCTTTATGCTCCTACTGATGGGTGACAGACAAAAATAGTCGCCTGTGCAATGTCTTAATGAGCGAGAAAGTCTCTTTACAATCGAACAGTAGGACCGCTGTTTGCCCGTCTCACGAAAATCCGTAAAACCCACTCCTACCAAGAAAGTCCAATCTCTAGAAGGTTCATTGCGGTTCACTGCAATCAGATGAATGACAGGTGCTTTTGCTTTATTCATAATTTTTAATTAGGGCAATCACCCATCGTAAAGTTAGTCTTCAACGATCCTCATGTCTGTATTATTCTTACAAGCTAGCTACATTACGGCAGTGCTCTATCAGGGCTTTCATGAAGACCTAAGTAACGGCATTATCTTCCCTGCGGATCCCAGTCTAGAATATCTTTCAACGACAACATCAATGTTTATGCAATTTTTTCTGCTTCAAAAAACGAAATGCTCTACTTGCTCTCATTATACCACAGGTGCACATCAGGAATGCATTAATTTTCGCCTGCAGGGAGTCATGGAAGCCAGCTCTACCCTTATTTTAAATAACTGGGCTCAAAACATTAGAAATGGTCAGTCAAGGAAATAATTGTGAAAAAAATTTATTTAAATGATTATTTACCATGGTAGAACCATTAGGCAGAGTGCAAGCAGTGCAGTTTGGGAGTCGAGACTAGTAGGAACAATTGCCTCTTTGACTTCAGAATAGGCCGGAGAGTTTAAATATTGTGTAAAATGCGTCATGCGCCAAATGTACTTTATAGGTTCTGTGACTCTTTGCCAAACCAACCTTTTCCAGCTGCTAAAGAATTATGGTGATATATCGTGGCTACATAACAAATGGCGCTATTGACTTTGTTGAAAAAAACTTTGCCTTCATCGTTTTCGTAGGCGTTGGCGCAGCTTCACCTAACGTGGCGTAGAACTACAAGGAGCCAAACACCGGTGATTTCTACTTTATTGGCCGGCCATTGACCTCTGCGAAGTTTGACAGCGACCTTCTGTGTAATGAACATATGGCATACGAGAGGTCAAATCAAGCAGCAAAACCTTGCTTGGGTTAACCTGCAATTAATTTCCTGGTGATTGCAATGAACGTGAACAAGATTTTTTTCTTAGTTTAAACATAGTAAATGCCACCAAAAATAGATTTGATACAACCATTCAATGTTGTCTTCGCAATTATTGATAGCGAGTTCCACCTTGTTCGGGGATGTTTCACCCGTAAGTTGCTACGGGCGTAAACATTCCAATCCCATTTATTTCTCAGGATCTGTACAATGACAAGAGCTGCAATTCCTCGTGATTGCTTAAATATAATGACAGGGACATTTTTCGAATTTTTTTTGTCAATGAAAAAAGCTCGTGTGCTTTCTGTCTGATGGAACTGACAGGAGCTTGTATAGTGTATACATTAGCCCCTTCAGTGTGAGCCATTCGCTACTGTGCTTAGCGCTGCTCCCAAATCTTGAGGCTCTGGTGATACGAAATGGCATTTACACCTGTGTTTAAAGCTTGTTTGCTTTGCAAAGGGAATCTAACTGCCATAAATTCTGCAATTCAGCTTTCCTAATTCATACCACAATTAATCTACATGAGCAGATGGTCAGCCTATTACCTGACCAATACTGAGAGTTCCGCAGTTAGGCAAAGGCAAGAATATAAAGACACCTGGGAATAATTACGCATTTATTGTTTATTCGGTTTTGCTTTAATGAAATATGCGTGCACAAAAGATTCATTATGACGACAATGCCGGGTTTTTTATATCAGGGATAAAAGAGCCGTGTGCATAATGTTTCTGAGTAGCAATATAAGATATAAAACATAAGCTTTTGAGGTATCTTTGTCAAGAAAGACCAAAATGAAGAAATCAAAGGGCAAACACACCTGCAAGGGATGATAGAAGTTTGCATTGGAACAAAAGTGACTTAATAGCTTAAACGCAAATTAGGAAAAAATTTGTTAAGATGAAAAAACCATAAAGCGAATATTTGGAATCGCTAACCTATCAAAATACTGATTAAATAAATGAATTCGGATGCGGTTGTATTGTTGGAATTATGTTAGCACGAGCAAAAAAGCGGAACTTTTGCCTAGCTGCAATTGGTGATTTTGTTTGCACTAGCAGCACATCAAATAAAGTAGAAATACATAAATTATCACCCTGAGTCCAGCCTATTTCAAATGCGCTGTATTTAAAAGGACATTTGTAGAGCAAAGCAATGAGTCAAACTAAATGGCAAAACAAACACCAAAATGCAAATAAATTAATGTTATTGCACTATTATTTTTTATCTTTCTTGTGTGTCCACTGATGTTGTCTTGCGCCAATTGTCACGAAGTCAATATCATCACTCTCACCCTGGGTCAAATTTTAAAATCAATGTCAATAAAACCAGGTTTATGTTTGAAAATTTAATCCTTGACTATAAAAAGTATTCGAATAGTTCAACCCATCTCCTCTTTTCTCTTTTTTACCGCTAGTTCTAATTCCAATCAGACTAATTCCTTGATTGACTGACTGATTCATTGATGAAATGATCGCCAAACTTTCTGCCTTATCATTTGTTTCGTTGCTAGCTTAAATGTCACTAAAATGATCTCGTGTCGCAATTGTTAATTCCGTTAGACCATCCTGTTTTTTCCACGCCAATTCTATGATGGTCGCAGACATAAAATGATGGGAAGAGGAAAAGTGCACATTGAGGGAGGTGAAAGATGGTTGTTCTTATGTTGCCCGTTGCAAATGCCGTACTTCTGTGTGGCCTTCGACATTCTCCGCCCCAAAGCAAATCGTCTTTACTGCTAGTCAAATTAATCGTTTCACCAAAATCTCAATCTCATTGCCTTTACATTTTAGCCACACTATATAAGTATGCAAAACTGTTTCCAATGTAAGCCATATATATTTAGCCGTCTTCCCTTAAAGCTGGATAGACCTAGGTTCGCTATCAGTGTAAAATCTCTCATGAGACAGCACAAAAGGCAACTTTTTAAATTGATAAGAAATAGCTAGATAAATGGATTTGAAGCAGCTCTGTGCAAGCGATTTTCGCGGTGACTCTTGTCTCAAAAAAAGTCGCTACTGTCCTGCAGCAGGTGTCGCTTATGGGTGTAATTAAGTATTAAGTTAGATGCGTTCTATTCCTACACTTATATTTTTTTCCTTGTTTTAAGTTTTTTTGACGAATAGGGTTACTCAAGTATGGTAATTTCCAATTTAAAGATAGTCGCAGCGCACCAGAACTGTGCCTTGTCTTATGCTCAATTCCTAGCTGAGGGAAGGCATAGATAAGATCTGGCTCTCTCGTCAATGAATTAGTAGCCTTTCAAGTGCTTATAATGCGCAGTTAACAACAAGAAGGCTGATTATTCGCTGCAGCGGCATTTATTATGTCAATTAAGAGTGCCGTGTTTCTTTATTGGTGCACTTAGGCTTATGGTTCACCCGCGTTACGTCGCAACCCAATCAGAAGGGAAAGTTTCGTCTAGGTCATGCGCTAGAATGATGCGATTGGCTGGAAGGCTAGTGACAATGCTTGCTGTGCGATTGGACAGCAAGACTTCAAGCGCGCTTGTGCTTACGTGCAACAGCACTCAAAGGTGAAACGCATTTAAAACAGCTTAGGATCTTCAATTATGCTTGCTTCTGAGACTCAGAAATAGAATCGTCACAGGAGACATGGACTCCAGTAAGAAATATAATGCAACTAAGGCATTACCGATATTTTATTAAGTGAGATCAAATTATGCAATCTAATACCTATTTTTCAGCTAGTCAATTAGAGGCCTTTGCTATCGATTTATTCTAGCTCTATCATCACTTTTCCGTGCTTCACCACGGAGGTGGACGGCTCTGCCTTTACCAAAGTTTAAAAATACTGCAAAAATAAATATGTAATATGGGGTAGTCCTTTGAGCGGTGCACGTTTCCCACCGTCTTCTTTCCACTTTGAGGCATTTCATTCCACCAGCCTAACTATGCACTGTTTTTGGCCCTTCTAAATGTACTGTTGATTGACACTCGACTTTATATGATTAGTGCGGCAGTTCAAGTGCTTCTACAGTGACCTTACATCCCAGTCAGTCAGGTGAGAATAAGCTAGTGCCGCACAGTGTAGGGATTTTTGCAATAATAGCCACAAAACCCTAGCTTATTGTATTCCTGGGATTGTTGGTACAAAAAGAACAAATTGGCAACGCATATGTAGCAGCATCAATGTTTATGCTGCTTTAACTTGAGTCTGTGTTTTACGTGACATTGGTTTTACTAAATAATTGTTTTTAGTGCTGCATTATGCATATTCTCGCATTAAAGTTGTATCAATTCAAGACAGGGGTTATGAAATCACACTCTGCATTTGTTTAGGCATAAAAGCTACAGAAACATTTGCAACCATTTAATGATTAGAAGATGTAGGATGTTAAGGATAAAAATAAAAACCCTAGTCGACCACAATTTGCATGACTTTTAATGATTCCTTCACCGCCTATCCTTTTCTTTTCAGTACTGTTCTGGTCTACTCTGTTCCATTCTATTTTAGTCTCTTTTCTTTCATTGTAAAATTAAATTCCACTAAGGCTGAGACTCAAATAACATGACGAGAAGTTCATATTTACAGGAGGACTCCTGCTACTATCAAGTCACTTTTTGCATTCAACTCTTGCCACCTCTCATTTCACGACACAAATCCGCTTCACACTTGCAATCACATCTACAGCCATGAGCGATTTTACATTTCCTGTCATTCTTTTTTACTCCATCATTAATTATTGACCGGCCAATTAGCAATTTAATTATTTAATAAGTAAAGAGGCGAATTTACTGCACGACTATATCCCCTTCTAAAAAAGTTCAAATTGCTCTTTAGTTGCTAGTAATATACACAAATTTTGACACATCAATCGAAACTTCACCAAAAGCTCTCCCTATTTCTTTGTATCTACCACCAGTACTGCGTTTAATATTCCCATTGCCTGGCTTCTGATCCTCTCATGCGCAAATCAATTTCACACGCTCGACCCGCCGCCGGTGTCAGATTGTAGCTCCATTTGTTACTTCTCCAAGAAGCTGTGTCGTAATATTTGCTAAGTCGGTCGATTGCTCTGCCACCGCGGCAACAACAAAGTCTTGTGGTTATAACTGAAGCAAAACGCTTCCAGTGCGGATAACTATGCGACCATTTTTACCATCGGCGGGATGATGTCCAAATGCACCGAATCTGCCACCTTCTCCGCTGACCTTGTTCTCTTGCCTTGCCTCGCATCTGAGCCCACATTCACTGTCATAACTCGTCGCTATAATGCTAAATGTAGTGGTGAAGTAAATAAGGGAAAGCATGTACACCTCATTTCTTTCGGAAATGTTCGATTATTAATCTTCTTGACAGACCCCTCTGATATATTCTGCGCTCTGTAATTGTGCGCCATGGTAACACTGTACGCGAGTTACTATGTGGCCTGTTGGTACTAGATCTAGGGCGTTGTTGAAGGCGTCTTTGCAATTGAGTGGAACCTCCGCTTCGACCGATACGTCGTTCGGATTCCCCTTTTCAGTGTTTAGGACTACCAGATGCGAAAATTGTTTGAGGCAGGAGGGGGATTAAAGCCAAATATAATGGTCCCTACGTTTTATTCCCGTTACAGGCCTCTATGCTTTTCTACGAGCCTTTGGAGGGAGACATCCACTACGTTTAACAAACAAATATTGTGTTCCAGCAGTGAGGCTGCTAATGATATTGTATTTCCACTTTTTTAATTGAAGTGAATCTTAATAAAAGTCGCTGCTGTAAGAATATTATAGTATGTGCAAAATAACTTACAAAAATTGTAGCTGAACTTAAATTATTATGTTCGGGTTCATAATATACACCTCCCCTGCAGCATTGTGAAGGAGTTTAGAAGATCAACAGCGCAGCTCGTCAAATCAGCTTTTGAACGCTATATACTATTCATCACTCTGTGTGTAAACAAAAAATAAGTAAAAAAATTTCTGCCTTAACAAGTACTAATAAATTAGCAGACACTTAGAAAATAATCATGGATATGAATTTAACCGTGGCACGTAAGATCCAGAAAACCCTGCACATGCTTCTTTAAAATAAGCAAAATTTTGCATGCCATTAAATTTAAACAAGTGACGTTTAAGAATTTACTGGACATGAAACCATCTTGATATCAGCTACAGCACTGATGTAGCCTTGTTGTAATCTTGCTAGCTTTTAAAGGTGTTTCAACAACTAAAACACATGGCGCCTCAGTGCACATAAAAAAACCAAGTTTCGCAACAAATAACTATGAATTTTTACTTTAAAATTAATTCGATGCCTATTAGGGTGTAGTGAGCACGGAAACCCATGCGGTAAAGATAAAAACAGATGCTCACTTAGCCAATTAATTATATTCGATCATCAAGTATTGAGAAGCTGCTTCTAGTGCACAGGTTGTTTTCTCATATAAAGACATTCTTTCCATAGTAATAGGTGACCGTACTTACTAATCCAATCTAACCGATTGAACTAATATTTTAAAGCCAAAATGGTAAATGTTTGCATTTAGTAAAATTGCATTTCCTCACTGCGCATACACTTTACACCTGCAAACGCAGATGAATGGTGCTGGTAAGAGAAATATTTCGGTCAGCAAACGAATTGACTTCCTAGACTATAAATTACCCAAATATTATTATTACAATTCTTCCCTGCCTCTACGCAAACCCTACTGAACACACGTGACCGCCCTCCTGTTGACATCTTCGTATGGTCCACGATTTGTATACAACTTGGATGGGCGCCTGTCACTTCCCTTCCGTGAGGCATAGCATTGTTCCCTTTGATTTTTGCCATCTGTTTTGGCTTCTGCTAAATATAATGCGGCGAGAGTGATGCTTATATACGTTGAATTCAGCCAATATAGTTTGAAAGGATCGTACTGAGATCGTTTATTAGCTGGCACTAGTGCATACATCTAGGTTGAATCCTTTAACACGCCCTTGAATTTCTGCTCTTCTCTTGTATTAGAAAAGGCCCTCTTACCTATCAAAGGGTTATTGCATTATCAAAAGGAAAAGTGATTCTCTTACTTTTTGGCAAAATAATATATGTAGTAACTACCCAGTACTTGATGTATTTTGTGGTGAAAAGGAATAATAAAAACTTAAAACAACATTTGAACACGCTTTGAGTAAACAGGTAATGCTTCTCTCGCATTTATTCACTTGTCTAAATGCGCTCATCAGAAGTAGCTGAAAGTTAAATTCAATCAGTACTTCAAATTTAAATGTTATTTTGTCGTCGGTCTTCTACAATTTTCTTCTGTTGTATTTTTCCTCTTAAAAGCCATACAATCGTACATATCCTGTGAAAGACCACAAAGATTAATGACCGCGGTCTAAACCACTCATCTTTAATCGAACCTAGTCGTGTCATTGGCAGGCCCAGTGAAGACCTTATTACATTTAGGCACTCGACAGGAACGTATGATCCACTGGGTTAGATAAGGAGGGAAACAAGCAAATATTGGGAACACACAATTTGAAAGCCAGCGGGTCCACTCGCCTGGTTCTGCCCGATCCACTGTTCAGCACACGCATTGCTCACATGTAGACTACCTTTATTTTAGACAAAGATGATAGACGTATAGATATAAAAGTGTGTAAACATATACGTGAGTCAAAATTTGGAGAGATTGAGGGGTTGATATCAAGTTATTTTCGTCACAAAGGGGTATAAGCTAAATATTGATGGTTGATAACCCTAACCAGACAGAATTTTCTTAACCTAACCAATACGAAAAAATCAGCTAATGTGAAGTCCACAACGCATAAAAATGCACGAACACATAATCTAAACAAATGCAACTTTTACTCTTGCGGTACAATTTTATCCGAAAAATTATTGCCGATATCAAGATCATGTCGTTTTCTAACTACCGCTTATTTTATCTTAACGTTTTTGAAAGAAGTTTCCACATATATATATTTCTGCTTGTTTGACTACAGTACTACATCATATGTAAATGCCATCGCGCGTCATGTGAAGTTGTTTCGGTAGATCTGTTTCGAGCTTGTGGTGCGCAACAAGGAACTTTCCT